CCCAGTAGAACATTCCAGAAGCGGTTTGAGCTTCACCCTGTGACTCAGAGGAGCCCTGAGCTGCAGCTGGTGCTGGGAAGGAGGAAAACAGACAGAGCTGTGCCCAAAAACTCCTCAGAGAGGAGAACAGGGAAAACCCCAAGGGTCTCAGTGTGAGCTGGGGGACCCTGGATCGGTGCAGAGCCATTAATTACAGTCACAGCTCAGAGAGGATGGACACGTCCTCTGAGGGGCCTTCACCCCAGAGCCCCATAAACCACCCGTGGGATGGACAAATAAAGGATTTTTACAGAACCTTTTGCAGTTTGGCATCGCCACCTGACATCCTCTCTTGGTCTTGCCTGCCTCAGCCCAGTTTCTGCCTTACCTGAGCCACCAGCAACATTTGGAAATCACATTTAGCCTTTCACCTTGGATTATTTTAACAATTTCTGCCTTACCTGAGCCACCAGCAATACTTGGAGATCATATTTTGGAAATCACATTTTCACCTTCCAGTATTTCAACAATTTCTGCCTTACCTGAACTATCAGCAACACTCGGAAATCACATTTAGCTTTTCACCTTTGATTATTTTAACAATTTCTGCCTTACCTGAGCCACCAGCAACATTTGGAAATCACATATAGCCTTTCACCTTTGATTATTTTAACAATTTCTGCCTTACCTGAGCCACCAGCAACACTCAGAAATCACATTTAGCCTTTCACCTTTGATTATTTTAGCACCTACAGGGTGAAGCCAGGCCCTGTGAGCCCTGCCCAGGAGCTCACCCTGGAAATGCAGATTTCAGCTCAGCCTGTGGCCCTGCCTGAGCTGCCCCTGTCTGTCCCCACCGAGTGCCCCCAGCTGCAGCAGAGCCAGGAGGCAGCGATGGTGTTTGGTGACATGCCTGACAGACTTGTCTGACAACTTGGGGGTTTGTTTTGCATAAGCCACCCAAACAGATGGTCACCACTTTTTAAGTACCAGCCTGGCTCGTGTTTGTGTGCACAGAGCTGAAATCCTAATTTCACTGAATTCCCATCTCACTGAATTCCATTCTCACTGAATTCCCAATTTCACTGAATTCCCAATTTCACTGAAATCCCATTTTACAGAAATCCCATTTCTGTGAATTCCCATTTCACTGAAATCCCATCTCACTGAATCCCCATCTCACTGAATTCCCATTTCACTGAAATCCCAATTTCACTGAATCCCCATCTCACTGAATTCCCATTTCACTGAAATCCCAATTTCACTGAATTCCCATCTCACTGAATCCCCATCTCACTGAATTCCATTCTCCCTGAATTCCCTGTTGGAGCTGTGGTTTTGGGGCAGCAAACACAGGTGGGAGATTTTGGGGGGAAACTCACAAGGGCTTTAAGGTTAATTCCCCTTACCCTCTCCGTATGAAGATGATGATTTTTGTTTTTAATCTCCTTACCCTTTCTGGTGGGAGATGATGATTTTATGTCCCTGGCATCTTGGTATTCTCATTCCCACATCCAGAGAAATGCTGAGAGTTAAAAACCATTCTCTGGGCCTTTAGGAATTGTCCTTTTGCCGTGCACTCCTCCCTCTCAAGCTCCCAAACCTGTGCTCCATCCTCATCCTACCCTTGGTGGCACCACTTTGGATTTTAATGGGTTTATTTTCCTTTTGCTTTTTGCCTGAATTTTAGTGATGAATTATTTGTGGCTCACTGCTCCTTCGGATGGGCTGAGTGGTGCCTGTCCCAGCAGAGAGCTGAGCTGTCACACAGGGTTACCCTGAGCTCAAGGCAGCTTTACCCACCTGCCTGGCTGCTTTTTTGTGCATTTAGGGATATTTTGTCCATTTTCCTGGCTTGCTCCCTCTGTTTAACCTTCTCTGCTCTGCTGAGTTGTCTCACAGAGTTATCCTGAACTCAATACAGCTTTCCCCACCTGCCTGGCTGCATTTTTTTTTTTTTTTTTTTAATTTAAGGATATTTTGCCCATTTTTTCTGGCTTGCTCCCTCTATTTAACCTTCTCTGCTGAGTTGTCTCACAGGGTTATCCTGAACTCAGTATCAATACAGCTTTACCCACCTGCCTGATTGTACTTCCAGTTTGTATTTAGGGATATTTTGCCCATTTTCCTGGCTTGCTCCCTGTGTTTAACCTTCTCTGCTCTGCAGAATTGTCACACAGAGTTATCCTGAACTCAATACAGCTTTACCCATCTGTCTGATTGTACTTCCAATAAGTACTTTTTGTATTTAGGGGTATTTTGTCCATTTTTCTGGCTTGATGCCTGTGTTTAACCTCCTCTGCTTTGCGTGATGAAACAATGAGTTCATTTTAACAAATGCCAGAGCTTTCTGGGCAGGAATGTGGCCCACAGACACAGCTCCTGAGTCAGGTAGGAGCAGGGCTGCCTGGCAGCCTTGATGGCACTGTTGTGCAGGTAAGAACCGCTTTCATTCATAGGATCAAGCTGTTTTATTTTTAAATCCCAGCTCCACTGAAAGATACACATCTTTTTTTTTTCCCAACCATCTTTTCTTCCAAGCATGAAGTCACCGCTCTGCCCTGCTCTTCATTTGCATTCAGTGTGTCTGAAAGCTGTGTGCTGGTCTCAGTAGATAACTGACAGCCAGAAGGAGTGCAAAGCAGCAAAAAAACCAAAAAATAAAAATAAGATTTCCTGCATGTGCTGGTGGATCCACGCAATCCCACGAATCCACCAGGAACATATGCCCTCAAACTGCATGTGCCTGTCTATATTTATATATATATTAAAATAAAAACAAACTGTGACAAGGGAAGCTGCAAAACGCCGGAGTTCTGATGGGAATCAACAACAAACTGAAAACTCAGGGAGCTCAAGGATCCCGATCCCCAAACTGAGAACTCAGGGAGCTCAAGGATCCCGATCCCCAAACTGAGAACTCAGGGAGCTCAAGGATCCCGATCCCCAAACTGAAAACTCAGGGAGCTCAAGGATCCCGATCCCCAAACTGAAAACTCAGGGAGCTCAAGGATCCCGATCCCCACCGGTTTCATTTGCATCCCAAAGCAGCAGTCCCACCTCAGCAGCCGCTGTTCCCTCATTAAGGTGTCATTACCTTGCTGCCTGATTAATTTAAAGCCTAAGCACACACAGGGCGTGAATTGGGCAAGATAAACCGAACCGCTCCGGGCTAGGGATGGAAATCTGCTTCTGTCGCTCCGCTGTTTTTAGGGTGATTTGTACACGGCTTAAAGCGAATCCCCCGGGTGTCCGAGCTAAAGCAATTTCAGTTTGGGCGGCAAAAACTTCTGGTGCCTCCCTGGCCACCCCAAACTTCGGGACAGGGACCCGGAGTGCCCGGGGCTCCTGCCCGGCCGGAGGAGGTGAGGGGAGCATCCCGAGGGTCCTACAGCATCTCCGGGCCCCGGGAGAGCATCTCCTGCTCCGGGACAGCATTCCCTGCTCAGGGAGAGCATTCCCAGCTCTGGGAGAGCATCCTCTGCTCCAGGAGAGCATCTCCTGCTCTGGGAAAGCATCCTTTGTTCCGGGAGAGCATCCCCTGGTCGAGGAGAGCATTCCCAGCTCCAGGAGAGCATCCCATGGTCCAGGAGAGCATCCTTTGTCCTGGGGGAGCATCCTGTGCTCCAGGAGAGCATTCCCTGCTCCGGGAGCTCATCCCCTGCTCGGGGAGAGCATCCTCTGTCCCGGGAGAGCATTCCCTGCTCCAGGAGAGCATCCCCTGCTCCAGAAGAGCATCCCCCCTGCCAGGAGAGCATTCCCTGCTCTGGGAACTCATTCCCTGCTCCGGGAGAGCATCCCCTGCTCCGGGAGAGCATCCCCTGCTCCAGGAGAGCATTCCCCCTGCCAGGAGAGCATTCCCTGCTCTGGGAGCTCATTCCCTGCTCCGGGAGAGCATCCCCTGCTCCGGGAGAGCATCCCCTGCTCCAGGAGAGCATTCCCAGCTGTCCAGGCCGTTCCGAGAGGGCATCCCCAGGCCGTATCGCCCCCAGCCCGGGACAGCATCGCGCCGCTGCCCCGGCAGCGCAGCCCCCCTGCTCTGGGAGCGCATCCTCCACTGCCGGGAGAGCATTCCCCGCTTCCCTGGCTGCTCCGAGGAGGGCCGGGAGCGCATCCGGGAGAGCACTGCCCGCTGCCGGCAGAGCATCCCTCCGCTCCGGCAGCGCATTTCCCTCTCGGGAGAGCATCCCCTGCTCCGGCACAGCATCCCCTGCTCCGGCACAGCACCCCCTTGCTCCGGTAGAGCTTCCCCGTGCTCCAGGAGCGCATTTCCCCTTGGGAGAGCATCTCCTTGCTCCGGCACAGCATCCCCCGCTGTCCGGGACGCTCCAGCAGAGCATCCCCCCTTCTCCAGGAGCGCATCCCCCTGCTCCGGCAGAGCATCCCCCCTGCTCCAGAAGGCCATTCACCCGCTCCGGGAGCTCATTTCCCTCTCGGGAGAGCATCCCCTTGCTCCGGCACAGCATCCCCTTGATCCGGCAGAGCATTCCCCTGCTCCAGGAGTGCATCCCCCTTCTCCGGCCGAGCATTCCCCCGCTCTGGGAGCTCATTTCTCTCTCGGGAGAGCATCCCCCTGCTCCAGCAGTACATCCTCCCTCTCCAGGAGCTCATTTCCTTCTCGGGAGAGCATCTCTATGCTCCGGCACAGCATCCCCCCTGCTCCAGCAGCGCATCCCCGTCTCCGGGAGCTCATCCCCTCTCCGGGAGCTCATCCCCTCTCCGGGAGCTCATCCACCTCTCCGACAGAGCATGTCCCTGCTCTGGGAGCTCATTTCCCTCTCGGGAGAGCATCCCCCCTTCTCCAGGAGTGCATCCCCCCTCTCCGGGAGCTCATCCCCTCTCCGGCACAGCATCCCCGCCTCTCCCCGAGCTCGATCCCCGTTCCCCGGCTCTCCCTCCCCGCGTCCGGCCCCGCTCCGCTCCGGAGCAGCGCAGCCGAGCTCCGCCCGCCGCTTCCCCGCCTCTCCCGCTCGGTGAAACGCGAGGAAAGAGCAGCAAAGCCCCGCGGGGCAGCGACTCACGCCCGTGCTTTGGGGAAGCCCATGGAGAGCAGGATGTCCAGCGAAGAGCCATGTTTGATGGTCCCGGCGCGGTGCTGGCGGCCCCGGCGCGGGATGACTTTGCTGTAGAGCTCGTCCCGGGCGGCCATGGCGAGCTGGGCCATCAGCGCGCTGCCATCGCCGCCCGCGCTCGGCCATGCACGCCAGGGGCTGGGGACAGCGCCGGGGACAGCCACGCACGGCCCCGAGCGGCGGCGACACCGCCCACGGCCCGGAGGGAGGGAGCGAGGGAGGGAGGGGAAGGATGAGGGGAGGGATGAGGGGAGGGATGAGGGGAGGGATGCGGGAGCGCAGCCGGGATTGCCCCCGCCCCGCCGAGGGTGGGTGGGGGATGCGCGGGAGCGGGCGGGAGAAAGGAAGGTTTCCTTTAATTAAAAAAAAAAAAAAAAAAATTAAAAAATATTGAAAAAGGAAAATGAAAGCACGTGCACGCGCGGTTTGGTCTTCTTTCTTTTTTTTTTTTTGTTTTGTTTTGTTTGGTTTTTTTGGGTTTTTTTTTTTGCCTTTAGTATGGTCGTTATGTATGTTTATTTATTTATTTATTTATTTATTTATTTATTTATTTTGGGTGGGGTTTTTTTGTTCGTTTTGCCCTTATTAGAAATCATTTATTTAAATATCTATTTGTTTATTTTTGTTCGCTTTGCCTTTATTGTAATGTTTTTGTTTTTGCATTTGTTTGTTCGTTCATGTATTTATTTAATATTTGTATTTATATAGAAATATTATTTAATAATATTTATTTCTCTAGAAATTTATTTATATAGAAATAGATAGAGAAATTTATTTGCTTATATAGAAATAATGTTTATTTTTATAGAATTTCCTTCCTTCCTTCCTTCCTTCCTTCCGCCACTTCCTTCCTTCCGCCACTTCCTTCCTTCCTTCCTTCCGCCACTTCCTTCCGCCACTTCCTTCCGCCACTTCCTTCCTTCCTTCCTTCCGCCACTTCCTTACTTCCTTCCGCCACTTCCTTCCGCCACTTCCTTCCTTCCTTCCTTCCTTCCTTCCTTCCTTCCTTCCTTCCTTCCGCCACTTCCTTCCGCCACTTCCTTCCGCCACTTCCTTCCTTCCGCCACTTCCTTCCTTCCGCCACTTCCTTCCTTCCGCCACTTCCTTCCGCCACTTCCTTCCGCCACTTCCTTCCTTCCTTCCGCCACTTCCTTCCTTCCTTCCTTCCTTCCTTCCTTCCTTCCTTCCTTCCTTCCTTCCTTCCTTCCTTCCTTCCTTCCTTCCTTCCTTCCTTCCTTCCTTCCTTCCTTCCTTCCTTCCTTCCGCCACTTCCCTCCCTCTCTTTTTCTTTCTCTCTTCTTTTTCTTCTTTCATGTTTTAGGAAATCCTCTCTGTGGCCCCAACCAAACTCCTCAGGACAGATATTCCTGCTTTTCTCCTCATTCTATTTAATTCATCCTCCTCATCCTTTTCCTATTATTTTTTTCCCCTGACTTTCCCTTTTTTTCCACTTTTCCTTTCACTTTTAAGGCCAGCCTCATCCTGCTCCTGCAAGCCCAGCCTGAAACCCCAACCCTGCCAGCAAATAAAAACCCACGAAGAGGCATTTTTAAAAATAGTTTATGTTGGGGAAGGAAATCAATAGTGGCAATGACAAATCTATCAGTGCAGTTGTTATTATTCCCATTAGGGAAAACCAACAGCCCATTTCCATTTTGTTGTATCAATGAAGGGGAAAAAATAATACAACAATTCATTTCCCAGCTCCCTGCTTGTTCTCCTCCTGTGCCAGGAGATTTTCTGCTCTTTATCCACAGGGAAAAACCATCCTTGAACTGAGGATTCCATGGAAATTCCAGCTCAGGAACGACACAGCACAAAAACCAAAACCAAACTAAAAATGCTTCTTGTTCCTCTCTTAAAATCGCTTTTAACTCCTCTGATGTTGCTCAGGTTCTTCAATTTACCCTCACTATTAATTGGTGAAGATTTTATTAAAGCCAGAAGGTGAAATGAATTTAGTTGTGGATTTCAGCTGTGAAATCAGGATCAGGCACTCCAATTTAATTCAAGGGGAGAATTAAGGCCATTAATAATGATATTTTCTATTCCATTTTAACACAGGAGCAGAATTAAGGGCATTAATAACAATTTTTGTGCTCAAATTTGGAGCCCCCAGAAGGGTTTGGCCCCCACGAACTCATCCCAGCCTCAGTAGGAGCACCACAAAGACCCTGGAGGAGAAATAAAAATCCCAAATTCCTCCTGATCCCACCTCCCCATGCCCCAGGGGAGTGCAGGGATCTGAGCCAGCAGGAAATGTTTGCATTTCTCTCCCCGGGCCTCCCTCCTGTGCTCCAGCTGAGTTACTCAGGCAGGAAATAACAATAAAAATGAGATTTCGCTATGGGACTCTGCCCAGATGGGAATCTCTTTCCTCTGCCTGGGACGGATTCACACAATAAATTCCAACAGAAATAAATCCACATCAGGGAAGGTGCAATATTGAGGTTGGTTTGGTTGGGTGAGCTGCTGCATCAAAAAAGGAACAGAAATAAATTTATTTTTTAGGTGAGACTGGCTGGAAATTGTTTTCCAAGCCTGCCAAAATCATGTCCTTGCAACTTTAACTTCACCTGGCTGGGCTTTTTTACATGGAGACTTTATTTTTTTTTTGAAAAAAGGTGTTTTTTTCTCAACTATCAAATGTGTGCCTGGAAATAAAGCTGCCGCCCACCTTTTATTGTTTTTTCTTTTTTTTGATTGTACGCTGAAAATGAAAGCTGCCACAGTGATCAAATAGGGAAAGGGAAGAAAGTGAAAGTAGAAAGGCAAATTTTTAAAAAAGGAAAGCACCCAGAAAAATGTGTTGCCGCCTCTAAAATTAACAATAATTTCAGCGAAATAATCAAAATATACAAAATGATTTGGCTTGTGCGAAAGCTGTGATATTCAGTTTGTTTAAAATGCTGTCAGATTTTCACAGAGAACATTTCTGGTTTGGTTTTTAATTTATTTTTGTTTTCACTTGGCCTTGTGTTGCTGGCCTGATCCCAGATATTTCTATTTGTGTTCTTTTATTGCTGCTCACCATTTTCCTGTTTGTGGCAACAACTTTTGGGTGCCCAAAGCCACAAAAGAACACAAATTCACAAATTCCTGCCCCAAGAGCCTTGGCTGGGAAATCCTAAATTTTCCTGGGTGAACTCCAATTTTAATCCCTTTACCTACAGGAAAATGAATTTTTAGGGGATTATTTTTATTATTTTTTTTATAATTATATTTATTTATTTTGCTATATATAATATGTAATATGTAATATGTAATATGTAATATGTAATATGTAATATATAATATATAATATACAATATATATTATATAATATAACATATATAATATACAATATGTAATATATAATATACAATATATAATATATAATATATAATATAACATATATAATATAACATATATAATATACAATATGTAATATATAATATACAAAATATAATATACAATATAAAATATGTAATATGTAATATATAATATATAATATACAATATATAATATATAATACATAATGTATAATATATAATATATAATATATAATATATAATATATAATATATAATATATAATATACAATATACAATATATTATGTATAATATACAATATATAATATATAATATATAATAAACATATAACATATAACATATAACATATAATATGCAATATACAATATGTAATATGTAATAATTTATATTTTATTTATTATTTTTATTATTTTAGGGGTTTTTAATTTTTTTTTTAAATTTCTCTTCCTGGGGTGAAGGCAGAATTGAGGGGACAGAGTTTTAAAAAGCCAAGGAGGGGGAATTTCCATAGGAAGAGCTCAGGTTTCTGAGGAATTTGAGCCAAATTTAGGGATTTTTTTGAGCCAAATTTAGGGAGGTTTTTGAGCCAAATTTAGGGGGTTTTTTGAACCAAATTTAGGGATTTTTTGGAGCCAAATTTAGAGGATTTTTTGGAGCCAAATTTACCTTTTTTTGTCCCAGCCTGATGCTCCCTCCTGGTGCTGCCATGGGAATGCTTTGTTCCCTACCAATGGGAATATTCTGGAATCAAGAGCTCAGCAGCACGGAATGGAGCAGGGCCTTTGCTTTTCCCCTTCTCCCAAATCCATCCTTGGCAAATCCACCCTCATTTTTTGATTTCCCTGCCCACACCAGCTAAAGAATCAAAAAGAAATTGAAATTCAAAATTAAACTCAGCACTTCCCCTCCCCTCTCACCTCCTTTTTTAATTTTTAAATTTTTTCTTCCCCATTCTCCTGAGTTTCCAAGTGCCAAGGAAATTTGATTTCTGGCTGAGGAAAATCAACAGCTGCCTCAGCAGCACCAAACCAGAGGGGAAATGATGATTTCATTGTTATTTCGGAGTTTTTTTGTGATGTCGAGAGCAGCCAAAAACTGCAAACCGCAGCTCATTTTCTGTGCCGTGGGTGCTGGAAGTGGCAGAACAACATTCCTGAGAGCAGCCTTGGGGAATAAATCCCCTTTTTGTGCAGCTCTGCTACCTGTTGGGGCTGGATGTGGGGCTGGAATTTATTCCTTGATTCCCACAGGGAAAATTCCCTTCCTTCCCTCCCATTGCCGAGGTGCTCCCTCCTCTCAGAACTGCAAAATTTGGGTCAAATTTGGGTCCCCAGAGGGTTTAAAAACAGCTGGAGCTGCTGGATAATGGAGAGAGGGATGGGAAAGGAGAATTTTCCCCATTTCTCCCTCATCTCAAAATTTGCCACGAGATTTGGGCTCTGGAAGAGTTATCAGAACTTCAGGAATGGGGATTCTTTTATCCATATTAAGTTATTTTATTTTATTTTATTTTATTTTATTTTATTTTATTTTATTTTGGGTCTTGGGCTCTGGGAAAGTCATCAGAGCTTCAGGACTGGGGATTTTTTATCATCTCCAACTTTTACATTATTTTATTTTATTTTATTTTGGGTTTTGGGCTCTGGGAGGGTTATCAGGACTTCAGGACTGGGCATTTTTTATCCATCTCTAGCTTTTATTTTATTTTATTTTATTGGGGGTCTTGTGCTCTGGGAGAGTTATCAGAGCTTCAGGACTGGGGATTTTTTTTATCCATCTCCAGATTTTATTTTATTTTATTTTATTTTATTTTATTTTATTTTATTTTATTATCTTATTTTATTTTGGATCTGGAGCTCCAAATTTGGCTGCAGA